GATTACGTATAAGGCGGTTCTTGATAATCAGCTTATTGTGACAGTGAAGAGACTAGACGCGGCTAAAACGGCGGTGACGAGTGAAGAAGCGTTTGAGAATCATATGGAGATTGTTGGTGGACTTAGACACACCAATCTTGTCCCGATTAGAGCTTACTTTCAATCAAACGGAGAGAGACTTATCATCTACGATTATCATCCTAATGGTAGCTTATTCAATCTCATTCACGGTAATCTCTCATCTTCTTCAATCTCAAAAGTTGAATTTTTTTTAAGGGTTTTAGATTAAACGATTCTCTTAAATTAAAAATGTGGTTTTATTGTGCTGGTCTTAATCATGACGTGACTAACCGTTTTGGGGTCGTTGAGAGAGACTATAATGACCCACTCCTTGTTTATTTTAAGCTTTAAACCCTAAAATTATGAAAACATTTGATGAGTCTTTGTGTCTAGAGGGTTTTGTACACAGCTTAATTTATCACTTAAGTAGTGTAACTTGTTGACATTGAAGATGACCACACAGCGACAATCGCGGGTTTTATTTTATCATTATATAAAAAAAGTTTTTGTTCTTTTGCTCTTTTTTGAAATTTCCGTTTGATTACTTACTACTAGTAGTGGAAGAAGACAGACTTTGGTGGAACTCTGTGCTGTTTTCTCCACGTGAAATCTCGTCTTTTGCAATGGCTTTGTCTCTAGACCTTATGTTACTGCTTAAATGCCGGAAAAATAAATACTCTTATTACTAGAATTGTGAACATTTTCCAAGAATGAGAGGATTACATCTTAAGAATGTTTGTTTTCTGTTGGTGCTTGATTTGCTTCTTGGTCCCATATTGAGACCCTACTAATTAATTTACAAAATTTCAGGTTCAAGATCTTCAAGAGCAAAGCCATTACATTGGACATCATGTTTAAAGATTGCAGAGGATGTAGCTCAAGGCTTATATTACATCCACCAAACATCATCAGCATTAGTCCATGGAAACCTAAAATCCACAAACATCCTCTTAGGACAAGACTTTGAAGCCTGTTTAACAGATTACTGCCTCAGTGTCTTAACAGACTCTTCATCTGCTTCACCTGATGATCCTGACTCATCTTCCTACAAAGCTCCTGAGATCAGAAAATCATCACGTAGACCAACTTCCAAATGTGATGTTTATTCGTTTGGTGTCTTGATCTTTGAGCTTTTGACTGGTAAGAATGCATCGAGGCATCCGTTTATGGCGCCTCATGATATGCTTGATTGGGTTAGAGCAATGAGAGAAGAAGAAGAAGGAACAGAGGATAATAGGCTTGGGATGATGACTGAAACAGCTTGTCTTTGCCGTGTAACATCACCAGAGCAAAGACCAACAATGAGACAAGTGATTAAGATGATTCAAGAGATTAAGGAGAGTGTTATGGCGGAAGAAAACGATCCGTTCCGGTGAAAACGAAACTTCGTAGGTATCCTCCGAACAATTTTCTCAAGGGAGGGGGTTATTTTAGAAAATGAGAATATAGGTGCGTAAAATGTAATATTCTTAGGATGTGGGGTCGGAATTGTAATACCATTGGAATTTAGAGGACTAAAGTCAAAGAAGTTTGCTTCTTTCTTTAATTTCTTTTCCGTGGATGATATCAACCGTTGAAAATTGGTTTTTTACCACAAATAATTGTGGATTTGGGGCTCCACCTCTGTCAGAGTATTTATGATCCAAAATGAGAGAGGCCAGAATTAGCAATTTTTACATTTTTGGTAAAAAAGAATTAAACTAGAGAGAATATATGTAAAAGGTACTAGTTAAGAAATTTCTATAAAGAATATGGGATCAAAGTTTTTTTCAATGCAATGGCTTCTCTTTGATTTGTGCTATTTTTGGCACTGTATCTTATAGAAGTGTTAAACCAATACCAGCATTGATCAATATTTACACAAAGTTAGAATTCATTTGTATTTTTTGACATTAATCTGAATTTTTTGTTTTTTACTGGTTCCACAGTTCCACTCCTCGTACAAAAAATGGTCTCTTAGTATTGAAATATAAACCTCTTATCATAATAATAATGCAACATATTTTATAATTGAAATTATTTTATATAATGGAGCCCATAACTAGTGTATGAACAAAAGCCCATATATAAACATTATATATTTGAGCCTATAACTAGTTCAAGAACAAAAGCCCATATATAAACTACAGCTATCTTACAAGGCCCATTTTGATACCAGCAGCCCATAAACACTTCAATTGTACGACTATTAGATACGAAGATCGTGTGTATGCATGTGGTCCTTTAAAGAATAGTATACAAAAAGATCTAATATCTTAATTTTGAATTCGAGTGTAGGATTGATTCAATAATTAATAAATACACTGTTGACTTGATTTCTTATCCCACTAGAAATTTAGAACTTCCAGATAATAAGCCGCCTCGTTGCATTGTTAATTTCGAAAATATTTAGGAAGATTTGTTTTTTTCGACACCTACCGATTTAGGGAGAACAATAAATTTTCTCCGGTTCGTTACCAAAGCTGCTAAGCATAAATGTTTTTATGGATTTTATAACATAATTGTTCGTGTGAATTTGAATCTTTTTTTTCTAATAAGATCTGCCACAATCTATTGTATCGGTTGGTGTGTTATATTGATTCAACTAAAAGATCATCTATGATACTTTTTGAAAGGGTATATAAACTGTATTGGACTAATTCTGTTGTATTCATTTATGTTATGAACACATATAATAACAATGGTATAAAACAAAAACGATATTTAAACAAATGACAACCCCATATTTTGAATAAGAAACATGTAACAAAGTGGTCCAATTTCTATAAAATGTAATGATATTTTGCTTTTCCGCGGTAATTGGCACCATGTTCACGTGCCAACTGGGTCACAGCTAAAAGTTTCATTATTAAAATCTCATATTTCTCTACTGAAATTATTTATTTTGTAATTCTTCTTGTAATATTAAGATTTTAAATTTAAACCAAAGTCGTGGGAACAATCCAATATCACTCAACTCATACCCCACAGTTTTTTTCTATAATAATTTCGAATTATAAAAAATTCTTTAGCGTGTAACGATTCCCAAATGATCTTAAAATTATTATGAAAGGAACATAAAATTGCTACTTAACATCGTTAAATATTGTAATTATTCCTTGTTGGCTCCGATACAGTTTATAATAACGTTAAAATATAATCGGAATAGCTGACGATAACTTAACAATTTTTTTAAGACAAAAGATGTTGGCTTTAGAAAAAAAGTCCATTAAGAAAGATATGACTTATGGAGGTATATCGTAGATGGGTTCACATCAGAAGCATATTATTGATATCGTGAAGAAAACAAGTCAAGAGAGCAGCAACATCATAAAATATGGTCCAACTTACTACTACTAGTATAATAAAAGAATTGTGTAGTTAGATCATCATATATATGCCGTAGCTAATCCATTTTATAAGAATAAAGATCATTATCCAAATCAATTCTTAATGAAGAAAATACAACTCAACACTCCTGAAAATAACATAAAACAACTATTGAAAGATCGGTTCTTTCGCTGATTGACATATTTATAATCATAATCAATCTCCCACCTGCTGTATATAATAAGATTCAAATTTTTAGTAATACCAATTAATTTATGTCTATTATCTACGCTTATTGTTATTATTGTGTTGATCATATAATTGGTTTGTTGTTGAAGTTAATATTGGTTGGGAAACAATTTTATTGTTTTATAATTTGTGTTCCCAAATACTTGATTGGTTCATAAACAAATAAAATATGATGATGGAGCGTATGTGGGTTCAAATAGATAGATAATAGATACCGAAATTCTCCCTGGGAATAAAAATCAGAGGACAGCAGAAAAAAGGACAAAAAAGTGAATTGAACAAAACGGGAGGGGAATGGAATCAAAGGGACAAAAAGGACAAAACACAATACGTGTCGTAATTTGAGTACACATAAAGTCAATTCCTAACGGTATATATCCAGCCACAGCCACAGCCACCGACCACCGACCTACCTTCCTTCCTCCACTAATCCTATTCCGTTTTACTGTACTGTACCCGTATAGACCGTATAAATACCGTATGCCGTTTAACAATCTTAACTTTTATTCTATTATAGTAGTACTTTTTTTCCTCTGTTCTATAAATCTTTTTGATTTCGCCAAGACACCAACTAAATCAAAAGGAACGAAATAATTTTCAGTTTTCTTTGTTGAAAATTACAAAAAAAAATGGTAATAGATCCAAAAAAACTCATGGCATGAGATTACTAATTACATAGGAATATAATTTATTTTGATTAATAAATTACAAAAAAATAATAATATAATTATCTATTATGGGTTCATAAAATCCTTTATGGTGTTTTTATTTGATGTAAAAATCGAATTTATTCACTATTAGTACTATGAAAAAAATATAAGTTTAAAAGGTCCAATTCTATATATAAATGTTGAAGTAAGAGATGAAAAATATATATACATATCATAGCTAGAATTCATTTTTCTTGTCCTGTTTTAATAAAAGTCTTCTAGCTACTCTAAAATTTGTACTAGCCAAAATGTTGTTCATGTATGACTCTCCGTCTATAGAGTTCTTTTTTTTTTTGTTTATTTGATAAAGACCGTTTGTAAAGTTTTCACCATGCAATATGAATGCTATTATTTACATAGGATGTATGATTTTAGTTATTAATCTACAAGAGTTTGGCTATGATTATAACTGATATCTCTATCTTTAGCTTACTTTGTCTATCTGGACAGAGTTCAGTTATCTTTTGTATAAATTTATTATAATTTGGTATGTACAAATAGAAAATATATATATCGAGGGGGTATATATATATATATATATATATATATATATTCGTAGGGAAACTATTTAAAAATAGAAACACAGAGAGGTTTGGGTACTATAATACATATGGATAGTAGAATATATTTTTGACTATTTTAAAAAAATAATAATAATAATAGTATTTTATGTATGCGCATGTCATCTCCACCACCTCTTCTTCCGCCTATCCTCTTAAAAGGTTTCTGTTCCATTAAAAATACGAAATCATCACAGAAGATACAGCTTTCATCATCGGCCCAATATTTATTTCTTTATATTTTATTTATATATTTTTAAACTGATAATTTCGAACGAAACAGATTTTTATTTTTAAAAAGGAAAAGGTAAAAAAAAAACTTGTTATAACTCGAAAACAAATCCACACCACCATGACAAGTTTATCTTCTAAATCCAACTAACCTAAATTCTCTCCCTCTCTTACTTTTTCTCTTGTCGGTGATTTTGGATTTTTCTCCTCCTCCATCATCATAATACCACCTGCAAGCTCCCTCCTCTCTCTCTCTCTCCTGCTCCGACATATTTATTCTCTGTCTCTCTCTCTCTCGATCGAAATTTCTCTCAAAACCCATCTCGAAAGTCTTTTTCTTTGGAGGGTTTAGATCCTCCATGGACGGCGGCGGAGTAGCTGACGTGGCAGTCGCCGGTACGAGGAAGAGAGAGAGACCTTACAAAGGAATAAGGATGAGGAAGTGGGGAAAGTGGGTGGCGGAGATTCGAGAGCCAAACAAACGGTCTAGGTTATGGCTTGGCTCTTACTCTACTCCGGAGGCGGCGGCGCGAGCTTACGACACGGCGGTTTTCTATCTTAGAGGACCTACGGCGAGGCTTAACTTCCCTGAGCTTCTTCCTGGAGAGAAATTCTCCGACGAGGATATGTCGGCTGCGACGATCAGGAAAAAAGCGACGGAGGTCGGTGCTCAGGTTGATGCTTTAGGCACGGCGGTGCAAAATAACCGCCACCGTGTTTTTGGACATAATCGAGATAGTGATGATGATAATAAGAATTTTCATCGGAATTATCAAAACGGTGAGCGAGAAGAAGAAGAAGAAGATGAGGATGACGATGACAAGAGATTGAAGAGTGGCGGCCGGTTATTGGATCGTGTTGACTTGAATAAATTACCCGACCCAGAAAGCTCCGATGAAGAATGGGAAAGCAAACATTAAAAATATATTTTGGAGCGGTGGCTGTTGCTAACGCACGCCAACGGCTTGCTTCTACGAATCATTAGCGCCGTTTATAAATTTTTTTCTTTTTTTTTCTTTATCTGAAATTTTAGGGCTTTTTAGTTTTTAATTTTTGTTTTCTTTTCTTTTTATTTCCTTTATTGCGGATTTTGCGGTTTATGGAATTTTAGGCTATTGCTTAAAAAAATGCAAAATGTATATTACTCTACTCATTAATACTCATTAATGGAAAATCCGTCCTATTTCTTATCGTTAACTTCTCTTTTTTTACTTTTAGTTCTATTTAGATCTTAGAACTAAAAGAAAGAAAAAAAAAAAATTGTTGTATAGTATGTTGCATATCAGATTAAAAGCGGATGATTCCGTATATTATTTATCATTTATTATTTCAAATTAATATATACTATTGCAGACTATAAATTTCTATACTAGTATGCGCTTGAGCATACTTCTCCATATTATTATAAATTTATTGTTGGTCTGTATTTTTTCATTCCACTCCTCAGTCCGACATTTTACATACTAAAATATTGGTATGCATTGTCTAGTCCGCATTATATAGACTAACCATTCAAAGCCTTAGTGTTTAAAGATTAATATCCTAAATACCATACAAATTACTTGTTTTCAAAATTAACACAATATTTTTTTTGGATGTAAATCGATAAAAATTCCTTTATTAAAAGGAATTCTTTATATAACTTAGTGAGTAAGGTTTTTTTTTTAAAAAAAAGAAAAGGTTTTATTATGTTTATTAAAATGCCATATTCTTATTTTGAAATTTCAGGGGATTGTTAGGAAGAATAAATCGAAGGGATGGGATATCAAGTTGAATAATAATAATGGGACAAAGGATGACCTACATGCATATCATATAAAAGCAACTTGAGATTGTATATCTCTATTAATTACGTACATATTTTTTTGTTTTTCATATAATTCATAAAGTTGTTAATTATATAGTAATGTATAATACGGATAAGATTTTGAGTCGTCGGGGACTTGGGGGTGTTTTGTTTTTGTCTTCTGCTCCATTTCCATTTGTTCTGTGGGTACCATTTAGATTTTATATGCTCCATCTTTTTCAGTTCTATTATTACAAATTAATTATTGTTGCTTTTATTTTGAGATATGTTTTTAATAATCTTTTGTTACGTACATTTATATATCAGAGCTTTTACATTTATATATCGGAGCTTGAAAGTTTCCTTCACCATGTGTTTTATAATATCTTTTATTATTTATATGTGTTAGGGGCCAAATTATCTACTGTATTTCTCCATTCTTTATTTTGTTGTCGGCGCATTTCTCAATTTTCTTGTGATAAGTATGCAAAGGCTTTTCGTGGGGGTAAACAATGATTTTAACTTTGTTATTATTAAAAAAAAAAGGAAAAAAATGCGAAGATACCAAAATAAGAAAGAGTACAGGTGGATAAGTCCAAGACGAGATTGGCAAAGGAGAGCTTTGATTTGATATTTGATCGGCATTTACTTTTTTTTTTTTTTTTCTGTTAGTAAACTTTATTTTATAACCAATGCTATAGTTTAATTTATTTATTTTATGTTCTTTTGGGGTCTCATGCGCACTTTTTTAATTACTTTTTAGAATATTAATAAAAATAAATTTAACACAAATTGAAATCCAAATATATATAGCACGTATCTGACCAAGGCCAATTCATTATACTACAACGGTTCGATTGATCAGATCTAAAATCATTGACCCAAGTCCCCATCATCCCCAAACCTCCTGTCTGATCCTTGTTTCCCGTAGTCATTATCTCGATGGAGTTATCTAAATAATTGTTAAGACATTAGAAACCACAATCAAATCAGAAGAGTTCAAAATTTGCATGGTAATGGCCTAATTATGGGGCATGCGAAAGTCTGATCCAGTCTGGTTCATAAATTGGTTCCAAGTTTATGATCAGGGAACTATATATTTAAATTAATCAACATCTTGTTGTTTTTATCGATAAACAAATAAGTTTATTTAAATTAATCAAAATCAGGATTAATGACGAGCTGTACATAACAGCAGGCACAATAAATGGGCTTTTACAATAAGGCTGAAACTACTGATTGAACTTGAAGATAACACCATAACTAGTTAAAGCCTCATTTCATTTGGTAAAGCCCAGTAGTTCGGCCCATGAGACTTTTGTATAGTTGGGGGACAAAACGAAGGTGCGATCATCATCGTGCAAGAACTGAAAAGTAAAGCTGATTTTTTAATAAACGATTTCAAAATATCAAGATATAGATATACACATATATTCATATGCTCCTATTGATATTGTACAAGTTTGATTTTTCTGTTTTCTTATATGTCGTCGATTTCTAGCGCGATGCCTTATACCATTGTGGTATGTACTACTTGGAAACTGAGTTGGATGCATTGGTCAAATAAATAAAAGAAACAAATTATTTATAGAAAGTTTCTCGAATAGGAATATAAATATCTCGGCTTTAGTGCCCCATCAGTTTCTTGAATTCCAATTCGAGACAAAAGTGTTCACCACCACTAGCTCCTATCCCTAGCTTCTAGATGACGATGCCCGGAGTCGTATTTAATTTATTTAAGCGATTAAGGAGATTATCAAAAGATTGTACTATATATATATATATAAAAATCCTCTAATCCTGCTCCGAGAATTTATGCAATTATACATATTATATAGTATATACACAACACAACAACCGACTACAGTGATACTGATATATAAAAGTGATGATTCAAACAGTTGATAATATGTTAGTACAATAGTACTTAGAGCATGATTATAGGTGGGTTCTTAGAAATTGCTCTTAGCAATATTTAAGTAATTTATTTGTAAAAGTGATTATTAAGAGATAGTATTTTTGAGTTAAAATTTTTGTGTGATTAATGGTAGGCTCTTAACATGTGGTTCTTAGAAAAAAAAATATTAATATAAAAATACAATTTATAATTATAGAAAATTTATTAATTGTTGCAAATTAAAAAAAAAATAAAACATACATGAGATACAATTTATAACATAAATCACAAATGTTTTAAACTTGATTTCTAGAATATTTTTGTCCATATATGCTCGACCAAATCCTTCTTCAATTGTTGATGCATAACTCGATCACGAAGTCGAATTCTTAGTGGCCATCATATCGACGAGTATTGAAGGCATTTCTATAGAATTTTTGGATTAAGTAGCAAAAACAAAATTTGAGATTTAAGTAGAAAATATGAAACTTTTTGGATGAAGTAGAAAAAATTTGAATGTTTGGATTAAGTAGAAAGATCAATTTTTGGATGAGTATAAACGTGTGTGGTATGAGTTTGTGAGAACAAGTGAATAAGTGACAAGAGTCAAAATCTATTAAAAGAGTTTTTGGAATCCCAAACAACATCCAAAAGTTGGGATAAAAGCTCACAATTAACAGACTTCAACAAAATCGAAATCCCCAATGATTTTGATTTTAAACCAATCTAAACTCTTGATCACATATAAACATAAAAGTCATCTTCAAGGTCCAAAAACCTCGATTTTACATATGCTAGATCGTCTTTGTGCTTCCCGCTCTTGTCGCTTATTCTCTTTCTTCTTTGATGCTCAGGATTGGGATCCACCAGCTTCATCTTCATCTTCATCTTCACTTCCACTGATGTTTTCTGCTTCACATATACCCGAAGAATTATTCGAAGGCCAATAGTTCACTTAACTCCAAGACCTCTCTAATCTTAAACTACATTCATAGCAAGATACATGACAAATGAAACAAAAAAAGTTATGGACTATTCTTGAATAAATGGTTTCGAGTTTAGACCTGCAGCAGAAGCTAGTAAGAGCAATGAAATCTTCAAAACAAAACATTAAAATAGAATGGCTGAAAAATTAGCCAGAAAACAATGTAGGAGAAAATACAACATATTATTGAAGACTCACTAATCTGACCAACAAAACTCATCTGCCGAGTAAGTCTATGATTAAAAGTAATTCTAATCATTCATTATAGCAACCAAAACACATTCAGGTCAAGTGAAGAGAGGTCAAAGCAGCTATACATTCATACTAGTAATTGACATAGCCTTGGATTAGTGTGACCGTTCAATTATAACTATAAATCTGCAAACTTTCTTATTCAATTTAGCAATAGAAGATGATCAATTATGAACTAACCCTAATCCAGAACAAAATCAGAAAATAGAGTAATCAAATCCAATAACTCAATCCACCACGATCCAGTGAAAGTCAAAACAAATCCAAATCCCAGAGAGAGAGACAATACATATCCGTAGAGAAACCTAGAAGCGAAAGGAGCAGTGGATGCATCAGAAAGTGCGGCGGTGGAGATGATGAACTAACGCCGGAACGACGGCGATACCTCCGATTTGAGTCTCTGGTTTTCATTCTCTCGATGAAATCGCGCGAGAGAGAGAGAGACAGAACGCGAAAAAGACTTTAAAAAAAAAGCCTTTTTTTCCTTTCTCTTCATTTACCACGCTCCAGTCTTTTCTCGACACCTGTCCGCCTCTTAGATGGAAAAATGTTCCTTAGCTAAGGAATGTATGTTAGTGTTAAAGGAGTATATGCATTAAATTTAATCAGTTTTATCCTACGATTTCTCTAAGATTTACCTAACATCCTGCCTATAATCATGCTCTTAGTACTTATAAATTTGAAACAGGTAGATACGTAACATGTTTTTTTTTTTATTCACGTGAGTCACGTGAGTAGCGGAGAGATCAAGCTTCCGTGATCTTAATGAAAAGTGGAGCCCACAAATTTCAACTGTCTAGATTCACCGACAGTACGAGGATGATTTTATCGACACCGTCCGATGTTTCCAAGCTGTCATCGTATACAAATAAGAGAAAACATATATTAATAAACAATAGATTTCTAGTTTGAGATGATTGTGTTGTGCCGACACACACTTTTGGTGTTGTGTGTCTCTCAATATTTTAATTAAATTTTATACGAATTCTAATTATAGTCAAATTTTCATACAAGCCACGTTTATCATGTACATAGCTTTTATAAAGAAATCTTGAAATCCAGATTAGTTTAATTCATATTAATATAATTACGTTGTTTAGTCAAAAAATGGCCATATAGATCATGATAATGCTGAATAAGATGTGGACAAGCACAAATCTAACTAAAAACGTTACTCAAATTGATACGCGTGTTACTCGTTTAATCTGAGTCTTTTGGCCCACAGTTTTTTGAAGTTTGAAATTGAATTTTGATAATATAGGTGAAGAAGCAAACCATATTTCCAAACCAACTCAAATTTAGAAAAAAAAATTCAACCCCCTACAAGAATATTTTTTGCCAAATTAAACTAGCGCGACGCGCTTTTTTTATTTTTAACTAAAACATTTTGAATTGAAAATCTAATTGCTCATTTTTGGAGTATAGTTAACTTGCAGTAAAATGATTTCAATCATGGTTTTCCAACTCTGTGATGAATTTTAAAACCAATAATCCACCATAAATATTGAATATACACATGTATCCTAGATTTGTTATTGAATGTAAATACATTGTACATGCTAGTCAATGATTAATATTTGGTAACAATATCTCTTCTCGTGGCATCTTCAAATTGGTTGGATTCCATGAGAGGGAAAAAAAGCTATCTACAATAAAAAGAAAAACGATATCCGATATGATTTATTAGCGAGACAAATGTGGGGCTAAGATTGCCATTATGGAATCGATATATGCGTAGAGAGAAAGAGGGAGAGAGAGTTTTTATAATTACTACTTAGGGAAAGAAACAGAGAGCATCAAAGCATCGTCATAGTTCCATTAGGGGAAGGTTTGGCTTTTTCTCCCCCACTTGTAATATTCTTCTTTCACGCTTTGGATCTCCTTTTACCCACACCTATTCTTTGCTTTAGTAACTACTAAACACGTATTTAGAAATATGCGTTTTAAAAAAATAAAGAATACATAAAAATCTGTGTCAATAATTCAATATATAGAATTTTTTTATTTTATTTTGGGTCGGCATACACTATTTTTTAAACTTGAACTTGTCTTCAAGAAAAACATGGAAGTATATCGAAGCAAGTACGATTCTAAAAAGAAAATGATCCATTACAATAGATTTATAAAAATAAGCATAACTATATCAATATCAAGATCCTGTTGTTAACATCATTAAAAAGGTAACAAATAGTCATGTAATTAAAACAATGGTTGCATGATGAATGATTAGCAAGAGGTATGATTATCCCTTTGGAAACGATAACCAACGGTTGCGATAATTTCATTGTTAGTTTCAAACAATTGAATTTGGGGAAATCAAATAGTACTCAAATAAAACATTACTCAACGATATGGGGGGGGTTTTTGATATATGAAAACAGAAACAGTAGAGACGTTAAAAATAAATCCTATATGCGAGAAATACCAAAAATTTATATGTCGAATACATTTTAAAATTCATCAGAGTTGATGTAATATTATTAGTTTTTGAGATAAAATATCATAAGTAGTTAAATGTGAAAACAAGGATAAAATATCAAAATGTGAAAGGGAGCGTGAGACACGCGCGGAAACTAAGAGAGTGAAGGTGTAAGCAAAGCAATGGAGAAATGCAGGGAAAGAGAGAAAAAGCTGTTTCCCGTACTCTTCTTGGATGGGGGCATTTTCGGTAATATCTCCTTTGTTTTTATTTTTCCCATCACATTATTTCCGTTTCCTTTTTCTCCTACCAAACTCTTTTTTCACGGATTTGTTCATCCTATTTTTTTTCGTTTTTTAATATATGTAATTTTCTGTCTCTCCTATTATTCAACAAATATATAGGAAATTACATTAACAAATTTTCACTCCACTAAACATTTCTATATAATATTGTTTTTAGATAACAACAATGATTTTGGTGTTGTTTTAAATAATCATATATGCTGCTGAATTGATGTGTCAATTTGTTTTCGGAGAAAGATAGATATAAATTATAGTCCTAAAATGATAAATTTTGAGTAGTTGGAGTAGGAGAAATTAAATAAGATACTCCCATCTACATCCTACATTTTAGTCCATAATAATTTCAGCAAACTTTTGAATTTCTGAATTTACTTACCCTTTTTATATAAAAGAAAAATGTGATGTCAATACTAAGGAGACCAAAAAAAAACTAGGAGACAGTCTAATACACTTGTATTGGGAAAGAATCAAATTTCAAAATTGATTTCTTCATAAACTTTTTTTCTTCTTCTTTCTTTTACTCCTTTCATTGATAAAAGTCCTGCACCTCTCTAGGCCTCTCTAAAATAATGATGAATAGAGTCAGATATTTTTTCTACTAAATAATTTTTATTCATATGGTTCCTCATAATTTATTTATTTATTTAGAACCTACCTTATTTCTTTGATGGTTATTCTCATCTGAGACTCTTATTCTCTCTTATTTCTCTCCCAAGTTTCTTAGTTTTTCATCTTTAGTCTTTACTATAACAAATAATGTGGAACCTTAACGACTCACCCGATCATCACGAAGAATCCGACAGTAGAGGGAATCCGGTCGGACACGTGTCATACGGGACGAGTCAATCTGTCACGTGGCTACCGTCTGTGCTTCCGGTGACCCGGAATTTCTTTCCGGCTCGAAGCATGGAACCGGGATTTCGTTGCTCCGGTTTCAATAGTGTCGGTAAGTCGGATCCGAGCGGGTCGGGTCGACCAGAAGAGGCAGAGCCGGAGATATCACCGCCGATAAAGAAGAGCCGACGTGGACCTCGCTCACGTAGCTCTCAGTATCGAGGAGTTACGTTTTACCGACGAACCGGAAGATGGGAGTCACATATTTGGTAAATCATATGATATTTTTAAAACCATATAGTATAATCAATCCATCAACTATATGTTATCATTTGAATTATTTTTCATAAAATGTTTTGGAATATATTATGCAGGGACTGTGGGAAGCAAGTGTACTTAGGTATGGTTCATGTAGAAACTAACTACGAATTTACTTTTGTGCCTTCGATATCTTTGACAAAACAAAGGGTTTTTGTTTCTTTCTAATTGTTGTTACATATGCAGGTGGATTTGACACAGCACATGCTGCTGCTCGGTATATTTTCCTCAATCCAATTATCTATCAATTATCAAGAACCTAATACTACATTAGTATATCTTTCTTTTTTTTTGTTCATAAATTTTTTTGGTTATAGAATTAATTTGGGTCAATAACTATTTGAGACAGAGCCTATGATCGAGCGGCGATTAAATTCAGAGGTGTAGATGCAGATATTAATTTCGACATTGAAGACTACGTGGACGACTTGAAACAGGTACTATATTATTTTATAGATATATCTACTTTAGGTTATAGTAATTTAATTGCTACTCAGAAGAAAACACAGCTAAATATTGTTTCCTTTTTTTGCAGATGGGCAATTTGACCAAGGAAGAGTTTATGCATGTTCTTAGAAGGCAAAGCACTGGGTTTCCAAGAGGCAGTTCTAAATACAGAGGTGTTACTTTGCACAAATGTGGAAGATGGGAGTCTCGTTTGGGTCAATTTCTCAACAAAAAGTATAATTACATAGAAGTTTTGGTGCAAATATTACATTTCATTCTGTTTCTTATTAATTTGAAGTGTCCTGTTTGCTTTTTTTTTTCTTTTCAGGTACGTTTATTTGGGTCTCTTTGATACCGAGATTGAAGCTGCTAGGTACTGTGTTTTATTGTTCACTGTCTCATCATCACATAAATATTTACTTTTTCTTGGTACGAAATATTAAAAACTTTATTCGTGAAATTTGAATATAGAGCTTATGATAAAGCGGCAATAAAGTGTAATGGAAAAGACGCTGTTACCAATTTTGACCCTAAAGTATACGAGGAAGAGCTTAGCCCAGGTAAATTTATTTTTACCTTTGTTTTAGCCTTACGAAAACACAAATTTACTACTCCAGTCACCAAATCTATGGTAAAAATCAGCAGAGACGACGAGGAATGGTCATAATCTTGATCTAAGTCTAGGAGAATCAAATTCCGAAGAGTTTGGACTCAAGTCTGATGTAAGTGTTCATATTTGTATATATATATATATATAGTTTTGTCGGGAAATAATTAAAATGTTGATAATGAATTCAATGATATTTTAAAGATTGCGAGCATAAGAAATAGGATTAGAGATGAGGAGAGATTATTAGGGAGAGATCTATCGCTAGCAATGATGACGACGACTGTCAGATCGGAAAAACAAACAGACGGTGGAGGAAATCGAGTGGGAATGGCAGCATCATCAGGATTCTCTCCTCAACCTTCCCCTTACCGTATTCCTCACACCTTCCACTTCTCTCGTCCCTGATTCTTTATCATCATCATCACCATCATCATCTGAGCTAGTGTTAATCAAGCTATGCTTTAAAGAATTTGAGTTATTTCTCGAGCTACTTTTGGGCTCTGTAATACATATATGTTCTCGAGTAGTATATAAGAGGTTTTTCTTTCTGTTAATCTAATCAGACAACAAAAAGGTATATCCCCGAGTGATCCTAACTCGGAATTCATACTAATCACATACCTGAGCAATCTGTTATGTGAAAAATTTGCAGTGAATCCTTAAAAAGATCACCTGAAATAGAGAGAAACCAAACGGATTTAGCAACCAATGTTTTGGCTTAACAGACAAAAGAGTTTGGTTTGAATGAGTTACGTGAAAAAGTGATCACCTTAAGTGAGTGACATTTAATTATTATATACAAAGAGCACCAACATCTGGTACATTTGCTTCAACTTCATTCAATGTTCCTCTCCTCAAATTCTTTCTCCCCTTCTTCGACTCCGTTGTTTGGCTCCTGCAAATTAATCAAGAAACACTCATCTTTAGCTAAGTCCTGTTTTAAGTGTTTTGTAGAACCGTTTTAAGAAACTTACACTAACAGTTTTACAGAGGATCTCCCAGCTGCTGTTCCACAACAGGACTTGTATTTCTTCTTCGAACCACATGGACATGTTTTATTCCTTGGGATCTTCTGCAGTTTTCACAATAATCCTATCATATTCAGATCACATTTTTACGCAATCAGAAGGACAGATGATATCTTATGGTTTAAGCGAGCCAATAAACCTTATCATCGGTCTGTGATCTGCACTTGGCATGGACTGTTTTATTATTAGTGCAGCTAGCTGATTCCTTCTCATTCAATTCTTCTTTGGATTGCTCGGTGCTTTCCACTGAACTATCACTTGCTTCCATTGGATTTGTGCTATCTGCTGCAGAAGCGATTTCTGAATCATTTTCATTCAAAGACTCCATTCCTTGCTCTGCTATCAGGAATTCTATCGCAGCATCTACATCACCGTTTACTTGTACTAAAACCTAAAAGGGAGATTTCAGATAAGAGAGGACTAATGATCATATTTTCTCAAACATTAACTAAGCATCGCATTATCACCTGTTCAGCTTTCTCAGCATTGTCACAACAACTACCAGACATGACTACTTTGATAGCCCCAGCATCCACATTACACTTATCAGCTTTGTTTTTGGACTTGCTCTCCGTGGCTTTGGCTTGTTTAGATGCTGCTGAAACTTTAGCATCAGCCTTCCACAAAACTGGAATTTATTAGGGTAGAGAAACAGACCATTTATGTAGTACAGATAAACACCGAGCTAAAGTTTGAAGTAAAACCTCTATTACAACAGGCCTGGCTGGTCCTCCAAAAGCATCTTCCTTCGAACGCACACTGTTGTAGTGTTCCCCATCGTGGTAAGACCTAAAAGAGGATTTCTTCAGTAAAAGCAAATTCAAACCGATAAAAGAATCATCAACCGAACCAAGTATGCTTACAGATGGATCATGCGGGTTCGTGTATCTTCAAAATTGCGTATATACCAACGCGGTGACATGTTCTGCAACATATAGACTAATGCTTAAACAAACGTATATCTCAAAAGGAAGCAGATGATGCGAAGAGGCATTAGTATTACCCTGTGAATACATATATTACTGCGTGTGACAAGAGAAGCTGCCTGTAATTCCATATTCCCAGCCCAAGTTCCATCATCATCCATGGTTTTACAGTAATCCTCAAACGGAACATCATCTTCGATAAAAGGCTCGAACATTTCACGATTTTTCTGTAATAGCCATCTTGAGTATATAAGGAGGATTTCCAAAAAAATATAGACTTGATAATATTTATGAAATGACACTTACCACTATATATTGTACAACCATGTTACGGTACTTGTTGTGTTCATCCTCATTGCCTTCCAATTGATCAGCAATTGCTCTGTGAAAGAGAATCCACAAGTCAAATCTAACACATTTGCTTTGTCTTCAAACACAAATCGAATTCGATGATCAAAGCAAAGACAGACCTGAAGAAACAATTACCGTCTGCAGTCACTTGGATAATCTTAAGCCCTAAAGCGTCAAGCTGAGCACGAAACTGAGAGAGATCACAATCCTTTCCTTGCTTCTTCTTCACCTATGAATCAATCAAACAACCGAAACACACAAAAAAGTTACAATGATTCGACAGAGAAAAACAGATCAATAGTAATTGAATCAGAAAACGCAAAGCAGCAGCAACAGAGGAATTTGAAGTTGAAGAATCATGAAGAAACCTGATGCGGTTGTTTCTTAGGCTTAGATTTCTGTTGCTTAGTTTTCGCCATTATCAAAACCAGATACAGGGAAGGAATAGGAAAGCTAGTTAGTCGGGTAGTTGCGGCGGCGCAATGAGTACCGTTTCGTCGCCGCAGAATCTCCGGTACATGAAGAACAACCATGTACGAGATCATTGGGCCTGAGTTACGTGTTTAACCGATAATACTGAATGTTAATATGGGTCTTTTGGCCCATAAAGCTAAGAAACGAGGCCCTTCTTAAAATATACACATTGGAGAATTAATTGTTCTGATCAAACCATTGGATTAAAACTTTATTAATGAATACGTATTTATTATGATTATTATTATCCACATGCCAAATTTTAGTATTTACCATTAGCCCTGTTTGAAATTCTTAACGCATTATTTACAGTATTTGTTAGGATAGCTTGTGTTTACGCCATGTGCGTTCAACACTATTTCACCGTATTGTTTAAGAAAACGAGGCTCACGTATCATTTTTATACAATAAACAAGCATGTGAATAGAGATTTGGCAAGTGACACTAACAAATAAAAAAATGAAGAAGATCAAGAACCAAAGAGCCAAATAAATCAAAATCTACATCTAAAGAAAATAAGGAAGGTAAAAAAAAAAAGAAAGAAAAGTAAGCAATGGAAGAAGACTTAGTGGTGGTGAAATCAACAAGCATTGTTCATCCCAAAACTCTTAACCAATCAGATCGTGTGAAGAAGATCCATCTGACCCCATGGGATCTCACGCGTCTTCGTTTTTGTTATCCTCAAAGAGGTCTTTTCTTTCCCAAACCAGATTCTAATATTGATACAATTATCTCCATGTTGAAAACCTCACTTTCTGTTGCTCTCGACCACTTCTACCCTTTAGCTGGTCGTCTTGTCAAGATATTCAACGAAAACGATAACACTGTCTCGATTTTCATTTGCTGCGATAGTGGTTTTGGTGTGAAATTTGATCACGCGGTAGCTAAAACCATCACGGTTGGTGATCTGGTTAAGTCTGGTTTTGTCGATGGTTTATTCGGTTCCTTATTCTTCCCTGCGACCGGAATCAAGAACTACCAAGGTGTGTCAAACCCTTTACTTATGGTTCAAGTAACTGAGCTAGAAGATGGGATTCTTCTAAGTTATGGTTATAATCATACCGTTGCTGACGGGAAATCGATATGGATGTTTATCAACAAATGGTCAGAGATTTGTTCGATTGATACTGGATCCAAATCCATGGAAATTTCCTTGTCTCTTCGAGGTTGGTTTCTTGATGCGATCGAGTATCCAATCCATACTCCAGATCCTGAAATGAAACCACCTAGTTACGGTGCTTCAACAACAACAACAAACATTTTTCAAGAGATTGTGTTTCATCTTACAAAGGAGAATGTTTTGAAACTGAAAGCGAAAGCCAACAACGAGGCTGGATTCGAAGATGGAAAGATCTCTTCCCTTCAAGCGGTTTTAGGACATATATGGCGTTCAAGGGTCAAAAACAGTGACATGAGCAGAGAAGAAGAGACACATTGTAGAGTACCAATTGATATGAGAGAAAGGCTAAACCCAAAGCTAAAGGAAGAGTGTTTTGGGAATGTAATTCAGACAGGGATAGCTATAGTTAACGTTGGGGAGCTGCTGGACCATGGGCTGGGTTGGTTGGCTATGCAAATAAACAAAATGGTGAGATCACAAACCGATGAAAACGCCAAAACATTTGCAGAGAATTGGGTTAAGAATGTTGAGATTCCAGCTGCGGTTAGCGGCAATCTACTTGTTACTAGCTGTCCCCGTTTCAATGTGTATGGAAACGATTTCGGGTGGGGTAAACCGATCGGTTCACGTTCTGGACCGCCATTTAGCGATGGGAAACTTGTGGTTTTCCAAGGGGTTGAAGAAGGAGGATTTGAATTTCAAGCTTGTTTTCCTCGTGATGTTGTAGTAAAACTTATCAAGGATGCTGAATTTTTGGAGTATGTGGATATTGCTTCATGATTTGGTCAACAATTTACACGAATGATGTGTTTTGTCTTGTGACTTTTTACTGTCTCTGTGTGTAACATTATCAAAACTATGTTTTAACTATTGAGATCTTTGGTAAACGGTAACACCAGTTTAAACTTCGATAATGGTTTTTATCAAAAAAAAAAAAAAAAAAAAAAAACTTTGATAATGATCCATTTATCGCTCTTTCGTATTCTACACTAAATAAAGACTGCTTTATAATTGTTAAATTATTGACATACATAAGATAATGATAGTCATACTTTAACAAAATAAAAGATAAAGTCATGCTAAATACGACGAATCATAGAGATTCCATATTCACTCACCTAACCTATTCTTAAAGTTTGTTGTTATACACGTGGAAATTTCACAAAATGACAAAACATATTATGAACTCAGGGCCACACAAAGTCACAAACACCATAAAGTAGGATGTAACTTGTTTCTTGGATCTTGGTCTTTTTTTATTAGTGCTTTCAATATGGACGCACTTGAGAAACTCACGAGCCTCACGTAAGCGAAGACAAAACCTCACTGATTAAGAAAAGGTAAAACGATGGAAGAAGAACTGGTGGTGATCTCGAAGAGTATCGTAACTCCCAGAAACGTTAAGAAACCGACTTCTGTGAAGAAGATTCATCTGACTCCATGGGATCTCTCTCGCCTTCGCTTTGGTTATCTTCAAAGAGGTCTTCTCTTTCCCAAACCTGATCCCAAAACTGACATAATAATCTCACAATTACAAGCTTCACTCTCTGTTGCACTTGATCGTTTCTATCCTTTAGCTGGTCGTCTAGTGAAGCTAGCGAACGACGACGACACTGTCTCGTTTTTCATCAGCTGCGATGGTTCAGGTGTGGAGTTTGTTCACGCCATGGCTAAAAACATCGAGCTCAGTGATGTCCTTCAGTTATCCGGTTCTGTCCCCGGGGTCTTCGCTTCCTTTTTCCCAGCGACCGGAATCAAGAACTACCACGGTGTCTCAAGATCTCTACTAATGGTTCAAGTGACCGAGATGAAGGACGGGGTTTTCATCGGTTTCGGTTATAACTCTACCGTGGCTGACGCCACTTCAATCTGGAAGTTCATCAATGCATGGTCAGAGATTTGCTCGAAAGATTCGGGATCCGAAACTTTCCAACGTCGTCTTCACCTTAAAGGTTGGTTCTTTGATAGGATAGATTATCCAATCCATATTCCAGACCCTGTAACAAAAGCAACTAGCTATGTAACATCAACCAATTTACAAGAGAAGATGTTTCATATCACAAAGGAAAATGTTTTGAAACTGGAAGCTAAAGCCAACGACGAGGCTGATCAAAAGATCTCTTCTATTCAAGCGGTGTTGGCATATATATGGCGTTCAATGATTAAACACAGTGGCATGAGCCAAGAAGAAGAGACTCATTGCAGGTTACCTATAAACATGAGGCAAAGACTCAATCCACCACTAGAAGAAGTGTGTTTTGGGAATGTGAGCCAAACCGGGATAGCCACGGTCACAGTTGGGGAGCTGCTGGAACATGGACTAGGCTGGGCTGCTATGCAAATCAAAAACATGGAGCTGTCACAAACTGATGAAAAAGCCAAAGAATTTGCAGAGAATTGGGTGAAAAATATCAAGATTCCGGTTTCTGTTGGTAGCAAAGATTTAGTTGTCACAAACTCTCACCGGTTCGATGTGTATTGCAATGATTTCGGTTGGGGTAAACCGATAGCCGCAAGAGCTGGGCCACCGTATCTCAATGGAAGGCTCGTCGTTTTCAAAGGAATCGAGCAAGAAAGTCTTGATTTTCAGGCTTGTTTACTGCCTCAAGTAGTGGAAAAATTATTGAAGGATGTTGAATTTAACGAGTATGTATGCATTGTATGATAATGATTTGGTTCAGCAACATTGAATTTAGCTAAGCATCACACTAATTCTCTCTTGTGGTCAAATGAATCGATTCACCAAATCAATAAGCCTAATGCAATTCTTTCGTGTATGATTCACAACATCTCCATCAACCATTCGGCTAATATCAACGAATTTAGAGATTCTTAAAATGGATACGTACCTGACCGGAATCGGAATAACTCGCCGCCGGAGTAGCAGCAATCCGCCGAGCTCTGTAGAAAAATTTCATCGAAAGATACTTACTTGGACTATAGGTTGATAATGGGCCTACGGATAGATAGTTAATGGGCTTAACTATTTAACCCAATAAATATCAAAACCAGCCTATCTTAGGTAACGGCTACGTGGCATCACGTGAAACACGTTGTAGTTCACTAGTTTGGTACTCCCTCGTTCCTAAAATATTGATGTTCTACTTCTAGCTACACGAACTATACGTCAACACATCACCACGAACTATACGCCAACACATCACCACACATGCAGACTATTTTAATGTCTCGCTAACTACACGAACTATTGGTATTACATATGGACATCCCCGAACTATCATCGGTTATGTGTGCAACGCCATAACCATCGTTTTCAGATAATATAAATGTCTTGTTAACTACACGAAGTATTTCTTTTTTTTGTCAACTATACGAAGTATTTTCCATCAATTTTTTTTTAAAAAGTAATTAAAAAATAAAAAAATAACTAAAAGTAAATATTACACTATTATAAATTATATATATATATATATTATAACTTTTAATGCATTATACTTTTAAGTTAAATTAATTTAACTAATTTAATATTTATTATATTAAAGAGAAATTGTTAAAAATTTAAAATAGTCACTTAGTTCAAATTATACATCACTATAAGTTAAATAAAACTAAATAATATATCAATGTAAATTATATATCATAACCATCATTTCCAGATAATATAAATGTATTGTTAACTACACGAAATATTTCCATCATTTTTTAAAAACTAAATTCCAAAATGAAAAAATAACTAAAAGTAAATAATACACTATTGTTAATTATATATATGCATTATAACTTTTAAAGTTTAAATTCTACATATGCAGTATCCCTTATAATTTTAAGTTAAATTAATTAACTATTTTTAATGCACACATATATTTTATATGAAATTAATTTAACTAAATTTTTAAAAGTGTCACTTAATTAAATTATAATTTACATTGATATATGTGTGCATTATAATTTACATTGATATATTATATAGTTTTATTTAGCTTATTAGTTTTTTTAAAAAATTGATGAAAATACTTCGTGTAGTTGACAAAAAAAGGAAATACTTCGTGTAGTTAACAAGACATTTATATTATTTGGAAATGATGGTTATGGTGTTGCACACATAACTGATGATAGTTCAGGGATGTCCGTATGTAATACCAATAGTTCGTGTAGTTAGCGAAACATTAAAATAGTCTGCATGTGTGGTGATGTGTTGGCGTATAGTTCGTGTAGCCGGCAATGATTTTTTCTTTTGTTATTGTTCCATAAAGATTGATTTTTTAGCTTTTATTTTTATTTTTATTGATTTATAATAATAAATCGTAAACTTAAAGGCGTAATGATTAAAAATAGTTAACTTACTTAGATTACTATTGGTTGATAATTATTTTAAAATATGTAATATTAAAATTAATATTCAAATGATTAACAATGATTGAATTCTTAATATACTTGAAAACTCTAAAACATAAACTATTAGAACAGGGGGAGTATGTATTTTTTTTTATTTTACATGACACTAGTTTGGTATGTCATGTCCGAATTTGAATTAAAAAGTCTGAAGATAAATACCAATTATACACACTCCACTAGTGTAGTAGTCAGTAGAGGACTCGTATTTTATCAATTATCATCATCTCCTCGAGAAAAGAAAATGGGAGCTGAAGTTATAGTGATCTCTAATAGCATTGTTCGACCAGAGAGCTACAGCGAGGAATCGGATCGGGTTAAGATCCATCTCTCTCCATGGGATCTCTTCTTTCTACGATCCGAATACCCACAAAGAGGTCTTCTCTTTCCTCAACCCGACTCGGAAACCCGTATAATCTCTCAGTTGAAATCCTCTCTCTCCGTCGCGTTGAAGATCTTCTACCCATTCGCTGGCCGTCTAGTCAAGATCGAGAACGAGGACGATGGAACGGCGTCGTTTTACGTCGATTGTGATGGCTCAGGTGTCAAATTCGTCCACGCTTCAGCTAAAACTGTTTCGGTGAGTGATGTTTTAGAACCTGTCGATGGTAATGTGCCTGAGTTCTTGAATCGTTTTTATCCGGCGAATAGTGTTACAAGCTTTGAAGGGATATCGGATTCGTTAATAGCGTTTCAAGTAACTGAATTGAAAGATGGAGTTTTTATAGGGTTTGGTTATAATCATATGGTTGCAGATGGATCTTCGTTTTGGAGTTTCTTCAATACTTGGTCGGAGATTTGCTTTAACGGGTTTGATTCCGATCATCGGAGAAAGTTTCCTCCTTTGCTTCTCCGTGGGTGGTTTCTCGACGGGATTGAGTATCCGATTCGAATTCCGATCTCGGAGACGGAGACACCGAACCGGGTTGTTGTTACTTCATCGTTAATACAAGAGAAGATTTTTCGAGTCACGAGTAGAAACATCTCTGAGCTTAAAGCGAAAGCTAACGGCGAGGTTAGTTCCAATGATCGGAAAATCTCGTCGCTTCAAGCGGTTTCAGCGTTTATGTGGCGATCGATAATCAGAAATAGTGGTCTGAATCCGGAAGAAGTGATTCATTGCAAGTTACTGGTGGATATGAGACGAAGACTAAACCCTCCGCTTGAGAAAGAGTGTTTCGGGAACATGGTTGGATTCGCGACGGTGACGACCACGGTCGCGGAGATGCTTAACAATGGGCTTGGTTGGGCTGCATTGCAAATAAACAAAACTGTTGGGTCACAAACGAATGAAGAGTTTAGAGAGTTTGCTGAGAATTGGGTGAAGAAACCGAGTATACTGAATGCTAAGGCTTTTAGTAATTGTATAACAATTGCTAGCTCTCCGCGGTTCAATGTGTATGGAAACGATTTTGGTTGGGGTAAACCGATTGCGGTTCGAGCTGGACCGGGAAATACTACCAATGGTAAACTCATTGCGTATCCGGGGATTGAAGAAGGAAACATCGAGTTTCAAACGTGTTTATCGTCTAGTGTTTTGGAGAAATTATCGACTGATGCAGAGTTTTTGAAGTATGTATGTGTTGTATAAGTAAAATCATCCAAATCAAACGTACTTTTTTCTGTCTTGAATAAAGAAAGAAAAAAGTTGAAGATGTGAAACGAATCTTTGTCAGCAAATTTGACAAATCTTTACTTTTTGTAAATTAATGAATAAATTAACCTATTAATAATTGACAAATCTTGTTCTTCTTGCAAAAACACATTGAACACGAAATGTACAAATGTAAGAAGAGAAAACAAATTACAGATACGTAACGTCAAATTAACCACTAAAGTAATACTTTTTGAAGCAACACAAAAAATAATGTATTTTGAGTGAAAAGAAAGATTTTATTACGATCCGTAGGACGTGGCACGTGCCACGTGGCGTACAAAAGAAAAAGACCGAGTCTAGAGTGTATTTTGCCCACGCAAAATGTTGGACCGTCTAATAAAAACATTAATTGAATCAATATAAAAAAATTGTTGATCAAAAAAAAAGAATCAATATAAAAATTAATTTTTAAAAAATTTATAACGATGAAAAAGTATGACGGAACGATGACCACATCTTCTGCAGTTCTATGAAAATGATGACAACATCTTCTTCCTCTGCAATTATGAAGAACTAATGATATATACAAACTTCTTGATACATAAAGTTTTCAAGAAGCTCTAAATTCATACAAGTCATGGATGAAGAAGCAGCGATTGATCGATTACCGTTAGACCTTCTGGCTTATATATTTTCATTGGTCACTTCTTTCACCGTTTTGGGGCAGTAAGTGTTTTCTTTGATGATCGTTGCAAAGTTTAATCCTTTTCTTTGAATTAATCAAATTTTTTTGAGGGGAATTGAAGTTTTTTGGTGGAATTTTGGGGGTTTTAGGGCAAGTGGTGTTTGCAAGAAATGGAGAAAAGCTGTAAATCAATCGATGGCGAGAAGAGAATCTCTGAGCTTTGCTGGTTGGAAAATGGACGATGATTCCACTTCTCGTCTTGTTCATCTTGCTTACAACCTCAAAGAACTCGACATGTAATCTCTCTTTCTCTCTGCTTTCCTCTGTGTTTGCTTCTTGTTCTCTATGATCACGATTTCTAAACTTAACCTTCAATGGAGGATCTTGATCACTATCGAGAGTCGAAACATTGGTGGATTTGTCTGAAATTTCTGGTCAAGTTTCCAACTTTACCTTTGGGGTGTTTGAGAGAGGATATTGACTTGGTCAAAAACAGAACAGAACTAAAAACTCTGTTTTTCTTTCATATCTGCAGATCTCGGAGCAGATGGGGTTGTCATATAACTGATAATGGTCTTTACCAAATAGCTTCTGCAAGATGTGTTTCCAATTTAAACTCTGTCTCTTTATGGGGGATGACCGCCATTACTGATTCTGGTGTTGTTCAACTGGTAATCTAATACCGTTTTATGTGACTTGGAATCTTGAAGATTTGTTTTTTTTTAAATTATCATTTCAGAGAATCTTGATTTGGATTTTACAGATTTCAAGAACTTCTTCACTGCAACACCTAAACATAGGAGGAACCTTTATAACCGATGAGTCTCTTTTCGCTATTGCAGAACGCTGCCATCATCTTAAGGTAACAACAATTACTATATATCCATCTACTTTTCTATTTGGAACCAAGAGAATCACTCGGAATCCCTTATGCAGACAATCGGGATGTGGTGTTGCCGTCATGTGACAGAGAGAGGCCTTCTCGTTCTTGTAAACAAATGCGGAAAACTCGAATCGATCAACTTATGGGGAACTAGAGTTCCTGTGGATTGCTTCATTGCTTTACTTACAATCAGTCCTGCACTTCAGATCAAACCCATGGAATTGCTTCTCAATGCTCAGAATCCACCACCATTGTTGCATGCTGTCTAGTGTTGCTCAACATTTGTCCTGTTTGTTGTGTACATAGTAATTCATAAAATTGAATCTGCATATATCTTATGCGTTCTCGGTTCTTCCATCAATAACATATATAAATTATACAGTAAAGTTTCTATTAAAGTAGAATTGTGTCTAAATATATATAAGTTGCATAACATTCAACAGAAGCTGAAGACACACATACACAATATTTCTGCCTATGCGTCTACCATTCAAGAATCATAACAGAAACTCTTTCTAAGGGAATTCATGTTTCCTGAACTTAGGATCTCTCCTTCGTTTTAAAGAAGTGATCAAGATTCTCTAACCCAATAATCTCTCCAAGCGGTTTAATAGGTTGTGTCATAGTAGAAACATCAGGAATGGCAGCCATGAGAAGCAGAAGGCAACAATAGTGTTTGGTGGATAGACAACAGAAGCTACGGATCTTGAGAACTGAACTGAACCTGAGTAGCTTCCACCTGAGTTGCTTCCAGCCGTTGAATCCATGTTTGGAGTTCTTGTCTGTAGAGTAACATTTTTGCATGAACCATAGGCTGCTCCTGGCTGCAACACCAAGAACCAAAATTCGGGTGCTAGTTTTAGATGGTTTAGGTTTGTAAGATCTCATTCCATATCCCTACTTACGTAAGCGCGGGTATTACCTGGCAGGCAGCAAGAGTTTCACAACCGCAAAGTACTGGTCCATTCATTCTATCCAGAATTTCGAAAACGCCACCTCCATCACTTCTCTGCAAATATTATGCTTTGTTAGCAAGATCTCGCAAAAGCTGTCATATTTTAGCTATATGATTGATTCAGTACCATGTAGAAGTTAACAGCAAGAAAGTTTGGCATTCTATTCCCTCCTGACTTTAGACAAGTCCCAACCATCTCAGCAAGTGGAGCTGAGTGCTCTTTGCAAGCGTCTTTCTCAACCGGATATGTTGGGAAGTAATTCATCAAGAAAAGCGATGAACTTTTTGAGTTTAAGGGTTGTGATTCTTTTCTGTTAGGACAAGAACCTCGCTTCACCCCGGGATCTCCAGCTATACACATCATAGGAAAGTGGCAAGAGAAGGTTAATCTCCAAGACCATTCCGATAACAAAGATTTAAAACTTTTTGTAATACTCACATTCATTTTCAACCATGTATCTCCATTGATAAGCAACGCCTTCTTCATCTTCTTTGGCGGCGACAGAAGTGAAAACGAGGAGCCTGTGATTCTCTTGCACCATATCAGTCACAGTAGGCCAATCTTCTCCTTTTCTAGGCATTTTAGAAACAGGAAACCAGTACTTATCCAAACCAGCGTTGGCAAATAGAGTTGATAAGCCTTTAGGTCTGTGCACATAATCCTCAATTATGATGGTAACAATCTCTGTTGGGTTCTGACTCAGAAATGCCTCAACTTCCCTCAGTGTGTTAATTGCAGGTTGCTGATTCAAAAAGAAAACAAAGTGCACATTTACCAATCCAAACAGGTTTCAAGCTTTCTATCCAACAAGATTAAGCTGAAGATAAATCTTACAAAAGCGGTGAAGTTGAAACATTGCCCTCGAAGAGAATGGCAAAGCCAGATATCGTTGTTGAAGTCATACATATCCAGCATTAGCCCTCTAACTCCATTCTAGAGAAAATAAAATTAAAAACACATTCAAGAGTTTTTACCAAAGAAACAGGAATCCAAAATAAGAGAGTTGGTAACAAGGAAATTACTTGTAGCTGATTAGTAATCGTATCTTCTTGATTGTAAAAAGTAATCCTCTCAACACCTGGCAAAGGTGGTGCATTTGCATTGCTAAAGGCATTATGAGTCATCAACCATGTATACTTGTTGAAAGGCAATCCATTGATCTACAAAAAAAAACACACAAATTTCATCACTAACCAAATCTTCAGCAAAACACATCTTCAAAGTTCAAAACTCTTGATACAACCAAATGATCTAGACTATCTTTTAATACAAACCAAATGAAAATTTCAGCAAAACCCATCTTCAAAGTTCAAAACTTTGGATACAACCAAATGATCTGACTATCTTCAAAATGGAAACTCTAGAGAAGATCCAATTAATTATAGGAACTAAAACTTACAATGGAAGTTGGAATTGTGGCTTGGCCTCTTGTGCAGACGGGTTTACTTCTTCCAACGGCAGGACAGTCTCCACAGTATAAACCTTGGACACAATCAGTGGCCGAGGAGCATGAATCCAGCAGCTGAAAAAGACACAAAAAATGCAAAACCCCTAAAGATTTAGACCCCAATTTGATAAAACCAGAGAATATATAATAGGCAAAGAGAATCAAGAACCTGACAATTTCCATTAGAGCAAGCTGAGGAAAAAGAGAAGAAGATAGAAAGAAGAAGAAGAGAGACTGTCACGGCTCTGCATAAGCCATTAATGCACGCCGACATCGCTCCTAAGCTTATGCAGAGAGAAAGAGAGAGAGAAATCTGAATGATGTTCGATCTACTGTTGTTGCCTGTGGGTTTTTCTAAGACAAGACAAAAGACATGATTAGGTACTAAAACCCGGGCTTCATCGATTTGTTAATTAATCCTGGAAGAGAGAGGAGCAAAAGAAAAAGATTAGCTTTGCTTTCCTTTACTTAGACAAGGTTGAATCTTTTTCCCACCTCCTGAGAGAAAACGAAGAAAGGATTAGTAAAGAAGATGACCCACTTTCACAAGTAGTTCAATTTAGAGCAAAATACAGTTGTAACATTATAATAAAATAACTACAGTTTCTAGTCTTGTACACCAACCATACGACGGTGACATTTTTTTTGTCAAGCTTTTTTGATGGAAATAGACAACAGTGATCTTGGAAAGTTTATAAAAATAAGCAATGATGGTTTTATATTATTTCTTCTAGTTGTTAGGTGGTCTATCATAAATTTTTAATAATATTATTTCACAAATCAATATTTTCATTCTTCAAATTTTTGCTAATTTACTAAGATGTTTTAACCTACTGTATATTATTATTAGATGATACTGTATTTTTTTCTATTATGGTTAACGGTGCTCACATGCGTAGGGACACTCTTGTCTTGTTGCTTGTCTCTTTGCTTCTTCCAAGGAAAAATGTTACATTTCAATCATCTCTCTATGTGTGGATCAATACTATATAATGTCTAGGTGAAAATTTCTTTTAACGAGATTTATCTCCATGCCTATTTCATCTACAGATTCATCAACTGATCAACAAGAGACATATCGAATTAGTGACACTCTTGACGATCGAATGATTGATTTCCATAACCGATTTATTCACATTAGTCAACAATCTAGATTTGAGAGAGGAAATATTACTGCCAAATTAAACCTATGACATCACGGTTGTCGTTACCGTATGAATACATTTATAACATCTCTAACGGTCAAATGACATATCATATTCGTTTTTTCTTAATAACTTGGTGATTTAACACTCTCAAGTTTCTATAATTATACTCTTGATGTGTTTTTAACTTTGGACGATACACTATGACGTCGTGTAAATTCATTCTCTCAGTATCTCGCTCTAACGCCAGGCCCATTTACGTATTTTACTGAGCTTCTGTTAATTGGACCCAAACTCTCTCTTTTAAAGCCCAAGACCCAAATAATGTAATCATCATGTGAACTTACTTGTTTGTGTATCAAAATAACGAAAATAACATGCGTATCTCCGGTTTAAAAAGCGTTCTGATGACGTTGAAAGCAGATATATAAAGCCAAAACATAAAATTTACTTCCTTTTTTGTTGACAGCGACATTTATTATTTCTAGTACTTATTCACTATAAAATGATATTTTTCCATTGAAGGATATGCAATGCAATAAAGAAAGAGATATTTTTCTATAAAATACCATTTCAATTGTATTATTAGAGTGATAATTTAAGCAGGCTCCTTATTTTCAAATAAATCTTCCGAATCCATCTAAAGTTCCAGTTTTATTAGCTGTCATAATTTTTTTAATTGAATTTTTTTACATTTTTGGACTCCAAACAATTGTAAATCGTGGTCTTTTTTACCCTTAAACCTTTTTGGTATAAACCTTTTTTCCTTAAAGTAGCTAAATCCTTTGTATCCATGGATGCACTGAAAAGTGGTTATATGCATTATTTATCGTTTAAACCTTAATTTGGTATATATGTTTTTCCTTTAACTGAGCTACAAAGGATTTGGTATTTTGTGGTTTTTATTTGTTGATAACGTCTTTTTCTTCTAATATTTTATCAATATTAAGACTATCCTGGCCACTCAAGTATTTGCATTTGAATGGAAGAGTTAATTGGTGAAACTTGAAAGTGTTAATTATCTTTATAAATACAGCTTAATCTAGCACCTTACAAGAAACTTGTCTCAGGTAATATTTTTTCTCCAAAAGCATGGATCAAAACGGAGACATACCGGATAGTCCTTTTAGCTTCATCTGGCTACTATTTGGAGACGACTGGCATCTATGGGACACTTACCCAACAGTTGACGCTGATGCCATCTCTCCAGATCCAACTGTTGATGTGAACCGTGATAGTCCGACGATAGAGTCCGGTTCACTTATAAGGACAGTTAGTTGGGTAATTATCTATTTTCTAATGTTTTTCTTTGAGAGGATACTAAAGCTTTTGGATATAATATAAACATTGAAATTGTTTAGGAAGAAGATTCGTTCGAGCAGCACTTCTTACAGTCATCGATCAATGAACAATCTGAAACAGCATCACAAGAAGAGTATGCAAGTGTGTATTTTCATGAAGACACCTTCACATACCAGGTGTAGTTACTATACTATAGTATATATCTTACACTAGATTAAGTTTCGATATGCAAATATCTTACCATTAAAATATATTTAGAGTTTATGAAACAATATTTGTGGAAATAAGATGAAAAATTATTGACATTTGAATGAAAAAGAAATGGTTTTTGATTTGTTATTATATTTAGATATTCCGTGAGATTTACGTAATTATTTCCCGCGTCTTTTTGTTTGGTCTTAAATTTCCGGTGTTTGCGTGGGAAATTAAAACATTGAATATCGCTACTACAACTAATTCAACTCTCTTATTGAAACTATATAAAAATTTTGTGAGATAAAAGAAGTGAATTACCAGCTAGGTAATAAATATAAAAGTTTTCCCCACTTTGTTTAGTTGTGAACTTGGTATCTTCTAATGTCTGTCTTTTAGAGGTATGAACTTTTGGATATTAATATAAACACTGAAATTGTTTAGGAAGATTCGTTCGAGCACTACTTCTTACAGTCATCGATCAATGAACCATCTGAAACAGCATCACAAGAAGAGTATGCAAGTGTATATTCTCATGAAGACACCTTCACATACCAGGTGTAGTTACTATACTATAGTATATATCTTACACTAGATTAAGTTTCGATATGCAAATATCTTACCATTAAAATATATTTAGAGTTTATGAAACAATATTTGTGGAAATAAGATGAAAAATTATTGACATTTGAAAGAAAAAGAAATGGTTTTTGATTTGTTATTATATTTAGATATTCCGTGAGATTTACGTAATCTTTTCCCGCGTCTTTTTTGTTTGTTCTTAAATTTCCAGTGTTTGCGTGGGAAATTAAAACATTGAATATCGCTACTACAACTAATTCAACCTTTTTGTTGAAACTATAGAAATTTTTTGTGAGATAAAAGTAGTGAATTACTAGCTAGGTAATAAATATAAAAGTTTTCCCCACTTTGTTTAGATGTGAACTTGATATCTTCTAATGTTTTTCTTTTAGAGGTATGAATTTATGGATATAATATATAGACATTGAAATTGTATAGGAAGAAACGGTCGAGCAGTCCTGGGCCTCTTGGTTACAGTCATCGACCAATGAACAATCTGAAACAGCATCACAAGAAGAGTATACAAATGTATCTTCTCATGAAGACACCTTCACATATGAGGTATATTATAAATGATAAATCTAGACTAGATTAAGTTTTAATATGCAAATATCTTGGAAAACTAGTAAAGTGTTTACATCACATTTGAAAGAAGAAATAATGATTTTTTTATATTTAAAAAAAGAAAAAGATATTCCGTGAAATTTACGCAATCATTTCCCGCGTCTTTTTGTTTGGTTTAAATTTCTCGTGTTTGCTTGGGAAAACATGAATATCGCTATTATAACTAATTTAACTTTCTATTGAAACTATAGAAATCTTTTGTTAGATAAAAGTAGTAAATTACTAGCTAAGTAATAAATATAAAAGTTTTCCCCACTTTGTTTAGTTGTGAACTTGGTATCTTCTGATGTTTTTCGTTTAGAGGTATGAACTTTTGGATATAATATAGACATTGAAATTATATAGGAAGAAACGCTCGAGCAGCACTGGACCAACTGGTTACAGACATTGACCAATGAACAATCTGAAAGAGCACCACAAGAAGAGTATACAAATGTATATTCTCATGAAAACACCTTCACATACGAGGTATATTATAAATGATATATCTAGACTAGATTAAGTTTCAATATGCAAATATCTTGGAAAACTAGTAAAGTGTTTACATCACATTTGAAAGAAGAAAAAATGATTTGTTTTGATATTTAGATATTCCGTGAGATTTACGTAATCTTCCCCGCGTCTTTTTTGTTTGGTTTTAAACTTCCGGTGTTTGCATAGGAAAATATTGAATGTCGCTACTACAACTAATTTAACTCTCTTATTGAAACTATAGAAATTTTTTGTGAGATAAAAATAGTGAATTAGTATAGCTAAGTAATAAATATAAAAGTATTCCCCACTTTGTTTAGTTGTAAACTTAGTATCTTCTAATGTTTTTCTTTTAGAGGTATCTTAGAACCTTACATTTTTTTGCAAGATAACATTAGACATTTAGTGCTTCCAGTATTGATAAACCAGTCGGTTGCATTTCCTACATGTAGAAGATATTAGGAAGGACTCTCTCTAATAAAAATTATATGTACCATTTTAGTTCTTGATTAAAGAGTTGTAGAGTTTAGATATCGATCGCTTTATTAATGATTTTTTTTTTCTCTAGGAACTATTGAACCTCACTGAACAAGCAGGAAATGTAGGCACTGGTTTAACCGTGGAAGTCATTGATGAGAATCTAAGAAGAAGGAAGTATGAAAAGCGTAGTGACGATGAAACGGAGATATGTGTGATCTGTCAGGAGAAATTGGAGGACAATGAAGAAGCTTCGAAACTGGGATGTGGGCATGACTTTCACTTCGAGTGCATCAAGCAGTGGCTGATGGTCAAGAACATGTGTCCTCTTTGCAATCAAGAAGTCGTTTAAATGTTTTATCAAGTTGGAAAGATTCCATTTATTTAGATGTCAAGTTGGATTTTTGACTTGATTTCTTATTACCATTAGAACTATTTTGCTATGAACCATTATTATTTTAATTACCATTATTTCCCTTTTTATCAAGTTTGAAAGATTCCATTTATTTAGATGTCAAGTTGGATTTTGACTTGATTTCTGATTACCATTATTATTTTTTTGGCTATGAACCATTATTATTTTTAAATACCATTATTACCCTTTGGATGCATAAAAGAAAAAGGCTGATGATCACGAACATGTTATCGCCTTTGTATTGAGTATTATAATATCGAAATTTTATTTTGTGTTAAATAATCTTTCGAAATGCATGCTGTTTATTCACAGTACTTTACCTGTGGACAACAAAACAAAAAAAAAGGAAAAAATGATTTTTGTAATATGTCAAAAATGGTGAAACTGTTGCAAGACCTTACTTTTCAAGTAATTGTCCTTTTTCATGTTTAGTCATAATAATTATTAAATAGTCTATCAATGCTCTATCTTATCAATACCATTATTTTTCAACCGTTTCATTTACTGATTTTATATTAAACTTTTCTTCATACTGATAAAATAAAATAAAATCCTTTTTGACTTGGTGGTCGAAAAATGTTTTTTTTTTCTTCATTCTTTAATTGGGTAAAAAATCTATTAAGTTTTTATAGATATAAAACTATAAAGTTGGGAAGTAAATACAAATGGGAGACTAATGGAACTGGTCACACACAGAGTGATGTGAGACACCAGATTCTGTCTATAGGGATTCGACACGCCAGTCACATCTTTAGAAGCTCCACGCGCTTCTCCTAAGTGCGTGATCTCACGCGTCCTACCTATAAGCTTTACTACTACGAAAAAGCCACAGCGAGAATTTTTACACACAGAGTAGAGAGAGAGAGAGAGAGAGAGAGATAGATGGGTGATTCTGACGTCGGTGATCGGCTTCCTCCTCCATCTTCTTCCGACGAACTGTCGAGCTTTCTCCGGCAAATTCTTTCTCGTACTCCGACAGCTCAACCTTCGTCACCACCGAAGAGAAATGTTTCCTCCGCTGAGACCTTCTTCCCTTCCGTTTCCGGTGGAGCGGTTTCTATCGCCGGTTATGGAGTCGCCCAAGAAAAATATGCTTTCGAAAATAAGGTATAGTTGCCGTTGAACTTCACTCGCTTCGGTTAACAAAAAAAAAAAAAAGCTAATCTTTTTTGGTAACACTAAAGAGAAATGGAGCTAAACAGAGGAATTCGTTGAAGAGAACCATTGATGCTCAATTCCACAACTTGTCTGAAAAGGTTTTCTCTTTTAATCTTCCTTTTAAACTTCTTAATTTAGAAAGAAGAACCCTTCTGATTTTAATAATTAGAATCTGAGTTTTTGCAGAGGAGGAGGAGCAAGATCAACGAGAAAATGAAAGCTTTGCAGAAACTCATACCCAATTCCAACAAGGTTAACCAAAATGTTTGAATTTTTGTTCTTCACGGGAACATTGTTTGTTTTGATTAATTCATTATTTTTGTTTTGTTTGTAGACTGATAAAGCTTCAATGCTTGATGAGGCTATTGAATATCTGAAGCAGCTTCAACTTCAAGTTCAGGTTTTTTGCTACTTACTACGATTATATACGTTCAAAGTCTGATTTGTAAATTGCATCACCCAATCATTCACTTAATATACTGCATGATGCAGACTTTAGCCGTTATGAATGGTTTAGGCCTAAACCCTATGCGATTACCACCGGTTCTACCTCCAACTCATACAAGGATCAATGAGACCTTAGAGCAAGACATGAACCTAGAGACTCTTCTTGCTGCTCCTCGCTCGCTGGAACCACCTCAAGCAACTCAAGAAATGTGCTTTTCCACAGCTACTCTGCTTTGAAGATAACATTCAGACAATGATGATGATCCAGCGTCAAACTGGTCAGAATTCCTCTAGTACCTGCCAGACACAGGAGTCAAAAATGTTTCTGAGTTTTAGTATTGGCCAGATTTTAATGTTCAGTTATAGTTATGCTATTCAGCTTTAGGAGTGAACAAAAATGAGTAGTTTGATTAAAATGATGTCTGAAGAAGATTATATAAAAGACTAATTTAGTTACATGAGATGATTATTACAACTATCAAATGGCTATGTCTGTGAGTTGCAGCCATCCATAAGCACACCGGTCTCTATTACTTCGAGTGATGGCTGCTGCTGACTCAACCGCAGGTCTTATCTTCGTCATTGCTTTCTCTACTTGAATTTTCATGCCAACATCCATCTGTTATTTCAAATGGTAGCGATAACTTTAGGGATATAGACAAGACAAATTGATATTCATAATACCGATATAAGAAGGTTCTAAAGTAGAAACCTTTTCCAGAGAGTGTTGTGTGTCTAAGATGTGGCAGAAGTATGACAGTTGCTTGTACAAGTCTGCTTCAGTGTACTGTAATAAGACAAGGCTCAAAGTTGAGAGTTAGTATGTGAAGCCATAGAAGTTAGGAGTTATAAGGTTGATGAGGGCATATACCTTTCGTAAGAGGGTTCCGTTACAGTTAGGATAGTTTGGGCAAACTGTCCCCCGTTCACGTTCACCGAGCAGGCGAAAGTTTGGGGAGCGGGTCGTGTGCTTGCAAGACTCATCGTCACACTGTTGAAGGCAAAATGTACAAGAAAACGACATAAGCATAAGTTAATAAGGACAAATGTTCAGAATTATGAGAATAAAACGAAGCGAGAAGGTTTTACGTACCACCATTATGCCTTTGTAATACATTGACACAAATCCATCAACCTGTCTTTTCACCTGAAAGGCATGAGAATGAGTTAATAACTAAAACATCTGTCCTGCAGGCCAAATCACAAGGATACAGATTTTTTATTCTGAGAAACTTAACAAATTAGGATCCTTTTCAACAAAGTTTGCCTTACCTGGTTAGCTATCATTGCAGGGGATATTCTTCCCGTACTATCTTCCTGCTGACATTTCGGGCAATGCAGTTTTAGCCAGAATGTGGAATCAGATTCCTCTGTTTCAGGTGTTGCAGGTCTCTTATTGATCGACGCACAAACAGAACTAGTAATAGATGGACAGTTGAAAGCAGTAGAGCAGCTGGGGCATGTTAATGCTAACGGCTCACAGCTTTTATATCTGCATTTTTTACATGTAAAATACGTTGTTGCGGATCTTGAATTCCAGGAATATTGCAAACTCTTGGAAAAAATAATGATATCAAATTACAAATGAGAAAGATATCACTACCTTTCTTCATCACTTGCAGCAAATAAGAGGGAGGTAGAAGGATCACTGCTCGCAGCATCATTTGATTTGCTTCGGTACTAAGAATAAAACATTATTTCCAATCAGTTATCATGAATTCATGATCACTGAATATGAATCGGAAATTGGCTTGAATGAAAGCTGTTTTACCTTTGATGGGTCAAGTCCTAAACACTCAGCTAGACGTTCAGGACTTGTTCCTTGAATTTCTGCGCATAGACGAGACACCACCGGATGAATCTGTTGTGCCAAGTAGTAATCTATATCAACCAACCATCTGCTGCCGTCTGATTTCACCTCATCAGGATGCCTAGCACGTTCGGCAATTCCTGCTGAACTAGCAGAGCTAGCATTACCCTGCACAGAGGAAGCATAGAAGATTTAGTAGAAAAACTATAGGATATCTGATAATATCCAGCTGGTTTTCTGTGTTGGGAACCTGTTCATAGCAGATTATATACGGTACAGTATCCTTAGCGTTGAAACCTTCTTTATAACCACGTTGCCTCATTCTGAGTGCAACCTGAGAGGAATAGTTTAGCCACACAATCAGAGACTTAAGTTAGTGAATATTTTAAGGGAGAAATAACGTGAATAATAGCTCTCATTCTCACTTGAACGTGTGGTTGGCTTTTGGAATCTGGATAAGCTGCAGGCGGTTTAGTCAATGTCTTGGTGATGACATACTTCTCAAGTGCAACTTGCCCATTTCTCATTTCCTCTTTTATCTGTTGCATGGACAAAGCAACACGTGTTGGATGATAAAGAAGATCAAACTAATTAACGAAGACTAATAAATGATAACAAAGATTACCTTCATTAGTTCGTTATGAACTGCTTCAACAACATCCTCACACGACCTGCACAGAAAAAGAGGATTGTTGTGCTTGCATGAGAGAGTAAAAACAATGCTCTTTAGTGGATGTTTCAAAACATACCCTCCATACAAGATTTTACTCAGGCATAAATCTCCTATTTCCTTAGAGAGTAAGCTCCAATCTCGACGAACCATATCCACACCTTTTCTTTCAATGTCCTGCAATGAGAATGCATCTAGTACCCAGAATTTTCTAGAAGAATAAGAATGCAAAAATGTTTATAAAAAATATTACCTCGCAAGGCTTCCCATCCTTAAACTCCAACTTGACAGCAGCATACTTCTTTTTTCGAAGAAGAAGCATTCTCTTGTATATGCCATCACAGTCAATTTTTAGACATCTATACTTCTTATTAACCTAAAAATTGAAAGGAGAAGACCCAAAATCAAATGTCTGGGTTTTTACTGGGTAAATTATCTATAATTTTCTCAAAGCACTCTCCCCAAGGACAGCAATATAAGAGACAAATCTATTATCCAACCTACCTCTTGGATGACTTTTGATTTAATGGCATTCACCTCTTCGATATCATCTAGTCCGCTGTGAATCATGATTGAATCTGTGTCACCATATATTACCTATGTAAAAGCAAGATGTTTAATTCTAGACTTGATAGAGCAGAGATGTTGACACATTTCACTAATTTCTCTCCTGAAATGCATTTCCTGAGACGCAAAGTATAAGAGGTACCTCTAGGTTTAAATGGTTCTGGACAAGATCCACAGTTCGTTGCAGGATCTCCCTTCCCTGCAATGTTAAGGGAATTGTCCTGATCACACGAAGAATAGAGAAAAAAAAGAAAAGCATGTCACTAGAAAACACAGAAAGAATCACTTACCTGTAGTGTTATGAGCTCTGCTAAAGGCTTAGCATAGAATCTTGAATTAGGAAACCCCAGACATCCATACATACTGTGTTTACAATGGATAAAAACACATAAACATCAAAATGCGGTGATTGGCGATTATTGCCGACACAAGTTAAAGTGTAAAAC